GATGTAACTGAACTTAAGCACGTCCATAATCAGGGACTTAAGATAACCATTAAATATATAATCAGACGGGTCGTATACAGATATAAGCACATAAATATAACAATATAGTTTTATCATTATGATATCTCTAAACGATTTTTGAAAACGAATATATTCAAACGGATACTTTTTCCAGTTAGTGAAACCACACGTTCGAACCGTTTGACGATCAAATGCGTACGCCTTCTCTATCGCAGTCCAGTCAATAGCTACGTTCGGTATTGGTTTAACCAAAAACGGCGTATACCACCATACACATTTTAAGGATAAATGATCGAAACTGAGAGGCAATGCAGGTGATTTTTTTTTAAAGAGTTCATGTTTTTCGTAGTTCAATTTATAAAATTCCTCAATTTTATTGCAGAAATATGGCCTACTTAATTCCTTCCACACAAGTTTATTATGTTTATTATTTCTATATTTCTTACTTCTGAAAAAAAAACATCCCATACACTTATTTACTAAATGTGGCCTACTTTTTCTACGATCAGGGTTTTGTTGATCATTATATTTGACTGTTATATATTTATGTCCCACACACATTTCTACCAAATCGGCTAAAGGTTTTTGAAAGTTTTCAAAATCTTGCATCGTCATATTTAATGGTTGTTCGCCGTCGTCCGTGGTCGGTGACAAAAGGTTGATATACAATTCCTAAAGCCATTTGAATGCAACGACTTTACCTTTGTAAGCCATCGCTATCATATTGTATACATACTTAGCAATTTCTTCTATATTCGGTTCAGTACCATATAAGATGTACTGCAGTATCAAATAGTCGGCGCACTGAATTTCTTGAATCTTGCGATAGTATTTCAATTGAGCGAGTACTTTATCGTTTAGTGAATCTTCTGTGTTGCTGGTAGTTAATATTCTTTTTTCATCTTCAGTAAAGATGATGGGAGGGTCCTTGAACGTGTGGTAAGTGTTCAGCAGTTCAATGAAATCGTTTGAATAATTTCCGACATTGATGTATTGTTCCAATAACGCATCCTAATGAACATTTAAGTTATTAAAAATAAATCTTAATGTTAAATATAGAATAGATTGTTGTATACAACATAAAATAAATCATTGGAATTTGGATCTATTAATTTATATAGAATTAAAAACATTAACGTGGTCTAAATGGTATTATATTCATTGTATTTTTCAACTTGAGCATTACCTGATGAACTAACAATGATTTTCACAGTTGATTTTAAACTTAACTAGGTTATTTGTTTGGATTTCTTATTTTTTTTTTTAGTATAATATTATGTTGATATTGATTGAGTATACTAGGGTTACTAGGGATTCTTTCATTTGACAAACATGCTATTCAATACTCAGTGTTATCATGTATTGACTGCTAACCAGTATTGGGATATTTTTTTCGAAAAAAAAAATAATTCAATATTTTTAGTATCTTAAAAATGCGAATAAAAGAGCTATACCAATGAAATCATTTGAATAATTTCCGACATTGATGTATTGTTTCATCAACGCAACCTAACAATATGGACATTTGTAATATTGAAAATAAAGCTTAGTATAAAAGAGTAGTGTATGCAACATAACAAAAATCATTGGAATTGTCGGAAGTTGGAACAGTTCATTTATATAGAAATGAAAACATTGACATGATTCCTAGTAATGAACCAAATGGCAAGCTGTTGTTCGATTTCTAATATAAAGGCAGCTAAATATAAACACTTTCTTTGCTTTTTTCAACTTGGATATTACGTGTTGAACTATAAGGAATTTCCACAATTTATTTAAGTACTAAGCAAATTTCACAGTTGATTTTAGTGTTAACTTAATGATTTATTTGGATTTCCTTATTTTATTTTGTCATAAGTAGAGTAAATCAGATAATAGAAAATAAACAGAAACATTATAATGTAGTCTGTAAGAAATTAAAAAAAACCAGTACAGTGGGGTCGGTGCATAGTGGGGACGGAACACAGTTGGGTCGGGGCATATTGGGGACGGGGAGGTCACAGGTTTACAGGAATTTTTAAATCTGAAAGTGATAAAATCACTTTCGAAAAAACGCTTCGATGCAAATCGGTAGTTAGTATTTTCAAGCCAGTACAGTCCAAACCAAGCACAGTATAAACCAGCATAGTTAGAAAGTCTTAAATGAAGGTTCTGTATTTACAAATGAGCATCAAAGCGTTTATTTGAAAGCGATTTTATCCAAGAGGACTAGTACAGTAGAGTATTGGCATAATGTAATCAAAGCAATGAGGAAACGGAGAGGTCACAGGTCTACAAGAATTATTATAAATAAAAGTGATAAAATTGAATAAAATTGACCTCCCCGTCCCCAATATGCCCCGACCCAACTATGTTCCGTCCCCACTATGCACCGACCCCACTGTACTGGTTTTTTTTTTTTTTGCAAAAACTTAGTGGACCAAATAACACATATACAATGTCTTGTTATATTTTGTTGGAATGGTCGACGATTCATGTTCCAATCGTTTGTACTCCATAGTTTAAATTATAATCGCTTATTCTCAATAAAATTAATATTTATGTATTATATACTTCCATTAAAGCAATCTCACACAAACTATTTATACTTCATAGATTATATTATTTCAAAGCTATATTATACTTCTATTTTACTAGATTGACTATGTACAAAATAAAATGCAACTAAAAAAACCTTTTCATAGATCCTTAAAATGTAAAGGGTGGGATAGTGAAACGGGTTTTACCATTTAAATACATTAGAAAATCGCCGTTTTACTGCCTCATCCTGTATATTAATTTCTTGTTATTTTCTAAAGAACAATTGAGTTTCTAACATTTAAATTAAAATAAATCGTATACTGGTACTGTGATGGAGAAAACAATAAATTTTACCTACATATATTACTTATTAGTTAAATATTACTAACGTGTATAGCCACTAGCGGTCGGCTGTTGCCTGTTATTTAACAATAACCTTTTATGGAGATTTTAAAAATTGTGTTTTTTTAATAATAGCATAAGAGCAGTATCATGATGTTAAACGTTCACGAGATTTGATCTAGTCATAAAATAAAGTATTATCATTTATGACTTAATTATTATTAAAATTTATCTTAATAGTAATAGTATATAGTAATAAAATATTAAATGATACAGAATAACAGTATAACAATATACAGAACATTAGTTTTCCTTTAAAAAAGTTGTGTAATAAAAAATACATTTTGAGGCGGTATACTGCATAAAAACCAACACTTAATCTGAATCCAAAAAACAACAGTCCTCTTCATTACTAGCAGGTAGTTGGACCTTTTATACTCATAGTTGACCTTCGGTACGGTAATATAACGCAGGCGATAAAATTACGAGATAACAACAGCGGTTTTGTCGTATCAGAATCATTAAGTGTCTTAATAAGTTCACGGATAGGTTTTTTTCCCAATAAATCGTGTGTCTACTATAATCAGTTACACGATTTAGTCGTCTATGATATCATGTAATAAACACAATATAATGATACTGACCGTTGGGCCCTAACCTATCATAACACGGATAGACGTTACCAACTGATAGTTTTTAGTGTCTGTTCGTTTCTCACATCTGGTACACCGGGTTTTTAGTAAAAAAAAAAAAAAAATTGAATTTGTGTAAACTTTAAGTCAAAAGTGGTACTTGAGCACAAAACCTAATAGTATCATTCTGCATAGATATACATAAAATTGTTTTAATGATTTGATCAATTTTTTTTAAAGATTTTAGGTGTTTTTGTTAAAATATACGAAATCTGCGAAAACACAGTTTCCCGGCAATTAAAAAAATAACTGTAGTGCCGAATTTTTTTCCCGTTTAATATGTTATGGGTACATATGAGTTCCAACTACTGGCAAATTTTCAACACAAAAGTTTTAAAATTACCGCTAAAAACCCCGAAAAACAAAAAAACTTGTACCCCCCCTAGGGGGGTGGGAAATGGGTATAGTTTAAGTTTGACACAACTGACGTGTGCGGGCATACCAAATAATTATTTCTTATACATTTCAACTCGATCCGACTCTTTTTCTCGAAATTATAGCCATTAAAAGTTCTAACTTAAAAACTCGTACGGTTTTTTTTTTGTTTTTTCAACTTTCGTATGTGAAGAATTAAACTTTTTCAACTTTTACCCCCCCCTCCCCCCCCAAAGTACAAACTAGACAAAATTTGTGATTTATAGAGTTGCTATTCGAAGGAATTGGTCAAGTATTAAAAAAGTTACAGTGTATACAGCGAAAAAAAAAGCCCACATCAGAGTAAAACCAATACCTTCTCGCTTTGCATCGAAGCTAAAATAAGTCTCGCCATTATATTGATCTGAACATGATTTGTTCACTACTGCACGCTCGATGCTAAATTAATATTTCGTCTAGTCTCCACACAAAGTGATTAAATAACAGCGTATAACACGTTGGCTACTAGACTCATTTTATACACCATGATGGACACATGTGTCTCTCACCTGAATATTCTTAGCGTACCAAGAGCAACTTTATTTGTGTACCAAATTAACAACATTGAAATAACGTTAGAACAATCAATTGACAGATATACATTTTCTTTATAATTAAATATAGGTAACGATTATCAAACTTTTTTTTATTCAGAAGCACTGGTCACTCTCGTTTTACCTAAATAATATAATGTATTAAAGTGTATTTTATTTGGAGTATCGCTGGTGACCTTAAACTTCCCAACCAACCCTTTACTAATCTTTTTTTCCACTTACATTTTTTCCGTTAAACGAGGAATAGTTTTGTTTTTCTTTATGTAAAAACAAGTTATTATATTGTTGTCCATAGGCAATGCTATAATTCTGTTGTATTCGATTAATCCTTTTTTACTTAGTTTAACCTTAAGTTTAAATATCATAGTAAAAATAAATGTTTTTGGACACGGTTAAAGGAAATATGTGTTTATTTATTTATCATAATACAAACGACAAACGGGTCTTTAATAGTAATTATTATAATATTAGTAACAATCGTATGTATAATTATTATTTTTTATATTCGTATTAGATGCATTTGAATCAATTTTCAGGGAATACACTAAGGTATGTATTTTTACTTGCGTCAATAAAGAACGATAAAACATCCAATGTTAATCCGTCTAAACCTCTTTCGAACCATCGATTAAATTCTGTAAGGTGATTATCAATTTTCATTAATAAATATTTTGAATCATCAGATTGTCTATTAAGTAGGACTTCAAAATGAGAACATGACGGTGTTTTAATGTCTGAAAGGTCGGCCAATTTAGTTTTATTAGTATACCCTATAATTAAATTTGACAAAATCTTATTTACTTCATCTGTTATTATTTTCAAAACTTCATCAATCTGCTCTTTGCTAATTATTTTGATTCTTATATCATTTTCATTAGAATCATCTAATTTACCGAATTTATTATACAACGTTATGACATTGTTTAATGTTTTGTCTTCGATGTAACTGAACTTAAGCATGTCCACAATCAGGGACTTAAGATAACCATTAAATATATAATCAGACGGGTTGTATACAGATATAAGCACATAAATATAACAATATAGTTTTATCATTATGATATCTCTAAACGATTTTTGAAAACGAATATATTCAAACGGATACTTTTTCCAGTTAGTGAAACCACACGTTTGAACCGTTTGAAGATCAAATGCGTACGTTTTTTCTATCGCAGTCCAGTCAATAGTTACGTTCGGTATTGGATCAATCAAAAACGGCGTATACTCCCATACACATTTTAAGGATAAATGATCGAAACTGAGAGGCAATGCAGGTGAATTTTTTTTAAAGAGTTCATGTTTTTCGTAGTTCAATTTCCAAGTTTCCTCAGTATTAACGATCAAATTTGGCCTACTACTTGATTCTTCCAACATCGGTTCATAGTGTCTATATTTTTTAATGTTTAATTTTAAATATCCCACAAGTTTATTTTTCAAATGTGGCGTACTTTTTCTACGATCATGGTTTTGTTGATCATTATATTTGACTGTTATATATTTATGTTCCACACACATTTCTATCAAATCGGCTAAAGGTTTTTGAAAGTTTTCAAAATCTTGCATCATCATATTTAATGGTTGTTTGCCGTCGTCCGTGGTTGGTGACAAAAGGTTGATATACAATTCCCAAAGCCATTTGAATGCAACGACTTTACCTTTGTAAGCCATCGCTATCATATTGTATACATACTTAGCAATTTCTTCTATATTCGGTTCAGTACCATATAAGATGTACTGCAGTATCAAATAGTCGGCGCACTGAATTTCTTGAATCTTGCGATAGTATTTCAATTGAGCGAGTACTTTATCGTTTAGTGAATCTTCTGTGTTGCTGGTAGTCAATATTCTTTTTTCATCTTCAGTAAAGATGATGGGAGAGTCCTTGAACGTGTTGTAAGTGTTCAGCAGTTCAATGAAATCGTTTGAATAACTTCCGACATTGATGTATTGTTCCAATAACGTATCCTAATGGACATTTAAGTTATTAAAAATAAATCTAAATTTTAAATACAGAATAGATTGTTTTATGCAACATAAAATAAATCATTGGAATTTGGAACAGTTAATTTATATAGAATTGAAAACATTAACATGGTCCAAATAGTACTATATTTATTGCATAATATATGAATTGCATTTTTCAACTTTGGCATTACCTGTTGAACTAACAATGATTTTTACCAGTTGATTTTAGCTTTAACCAAGTTTTTTGTATGGATTTATTATTTTATTTTAGTATATAAAACACAGCTGGACTAAATCAAGGGAATGAACTCTCTCCGATATTTTTTAACATCGCACTGGAGGGGGTAGCTCGGAACATACATACATACTAAATATAAAGGAACTATAGACAGTACAAAACTAGCAACGGAAGAATTAATACGATGTGCAAAGGCTATAGGATTTAAAAAAAAAACGAAAAGAAAAGCAAGTATATGTGTATAACAAGGGAGCAACTACAAATACATCAGACAAGGAACATACATATTGGAGAGTACAAATTTAAAAAAAATTGCATTGCTTTAAGTATCTAGGCACAGAACTGAATAGCGAAAATAACAACCACGAAGAGCTAATGAAACGTGTTTCAGCAAGCATCAGGTGCACTGCATGGAGTGGAAAACTATACAGTGGTAGCATTGGGTAGAGAGAGATGGAAGGAAGTGCAAGTTTCAGTAAAGGGCCTCAACGGCCTCTGAAGCTGAGAAAGAAGAAGATAACATTATGTGGATATTGATTGAGTACACTAGGGTTACTAAAGATTCGTTCTTTTGACAAACATGTCATTCAACATTCAGTATCATCATGTATCGACTGCTAACCAGTGTTGAGATAATTTTTTTCGAATAAAAGATAAACAAATATTATTTAATATTTTTACTATCTTAAATATTCGAATAAAAAAATTATCTTTACTAAAAATGTATTAAATTTTAATAGAGGAAAAATGATTCGACATCAATTTTTATTTCATGTATAAATATTATGATTAATTTATACTAAGGTTGAGTTTTTTAAATTTTTTCCTCTCACATCCGAAATTAGCTTAGGCGCAATTTTTGGGACCTCTTGGGTGAAATTTTGTTCTAGTTAGTAAATTATTAAGTTAGTTGTTAGTTCGTACTAGTAAGTTAATTTCTAATACACGTCTAATGAACCATACAAAAAAAAAAATATTGAGTTGCCCCCCGATAGGCAACCGAACTCACAACCTCGACGGCCTACGCGCAGTGTGTGTGGGAACGGCGCGGCGGCACAGAGGGAAAGCACAAGGACGGAGGAAAGGGAATCAGTTGATACAAAGAGAAAATAATAAAACAGTGTAATTTATGGGGCTGGGGTCCCTGTGGTCGTTTCGGTCTGGTGCAATGACCACAGCTCACAGGGCGCAAATACAATGTAATACTCACTCGGATGCTATCAAGTCAAGTTGCTGTTTCCACTCAATGTCTGTTAGCGCGTGGATTGATCTGGATCGTTAATTGGAGAAACAATCACAAAATATGACGAATCGGTGGTTTTATGAATGTGCTGTATTTTAATTTTGTCACAACTGTGCCGTAATAGCAACCGAACACGAAAAACAAATTCAGAGAATTACTGCCGTAACGACACAATACACAACGAAAATTCGAACAAAAACAATTTTGAATTGTACTTTCTAAAAGAAGAAAACAAAAGGTGTGTGCATCGCACAGCACACCAGCATGTGTGTGGAAAAAAGTTAAAGGTTTTGTCGCATAATAAAACAACAAAAATATGGTACATTTGATAGTGTCAGGGTGAATGGCTATGGAGTGCACGGGAAGGAGGGAAGCGCCGATTACCGATAACGCAACGCGAGCAAAGTGTAAACATCTAATAATACTATTCGATTATTATACTCACCTAACCTAACCATACTAAAAAAATTTCAAAAATATATCCACACATTTATTAGGTGTGGATACACTTTGATATATAGCCTCAGGTCCAAACTCCATCAAACTCCCAGAAGGGGGAAGGTTTTTCTTTTTTTTTTGGTTAACTTTTAAGTTTAATTTTAGGATTTTAGTACTGAAATAATGGAAGCTCAAAAAAGAAATGCGGAAAGTGTAGTTTACTGATTTATAACAGGTTACATGTGTAATTTGTTTAATTAATTAAAAAATATTATTTATTACAATATAGTAATATAACCTAATTTAACTTAGTCCAAACTCCGATAGTTATATGTATTGATTTAATTGCTATTTTCAGAAAGCTAATTTTTAAAGTTTGCAAAACTAACAGTCAGTGCTTATTGGAAAAAAATCGCTTAGATTAGGGAATGAACTTTTCCCAGTATTTTACACAGTCAAGTCGCCACACAAAGCGTCGAATCGTTTTCAAAAGTGGCAATTTAGTGTTGTTTGATAGGGAAGAAAAAAATTGTAGTCATATTTTTATAATGTGTAATATGATAGGAGGAGGAGGAAGAGTGGCCGAGTGGGTTAGGCGGCGGTGTGTTAGCGTTTGCTGTCGTCGGTTCGGCAGAGCAAGTCACGGGGCCTATATTTGCCAGGTGAGCAAACAAAGTAAGCAAACCTGGCAAATCCATCAAAATAACAATAACTTCATACATTGTGCGACCTAAAATAATGATCAAATACACGGTAGTTATAATATACTTTGCGATTCAGATAAAAAAATTCCATATTATTCATCAATATCAATTTAATTATTTACTAGTAGCTGTAGTTGGTGGGTTTACTAGAGGCTAAAGATTTTTAGGTGAACTCAGTTTTAAATTATTTTAAAAGAAGCATAAATACTTAATAAATATATAATTACAAGTAGAATAAGTATTATATTTTAAATTCACCTTTGTTTTGTCACGGAGGTCCAACTCGTCTACTGCATTTCTTATTTCGTCGTCGATAGGTCTAAGTACAAGCATGTTGGTTAATGGACTTGACGTCACAGTCGTCAATTGGATAACCAATTTGACCGTTAAAATGATAAGACACGGACTTGCTGCCATTACGAACAATCAAGACACTAGTTATTTAATTATTCTTGTAATGCGTTTATGTTGTAATGTATCTGAAAAAGATGGAAAAATAATAACTTATAAACTGAAGAACATTGGATACGTTTTAACGCATTAGACTGAACTTTCTTATTGAATAGCTTATGTGTTTTTCTGTAGTTTAATGAAAATATTTTTAATTTTATGAAATCGGGGTACCTGTGTACACACTAACAAAACAACTAAAGGTATGTGATCGAATCCAACACGGTAAATATTTTACACTGACATTTTCTTAATAAGAAAGACGGTTTTGTATGAAACGATATTATACAGGGTAATAATAATCGTATGTCAGATTTAATATTTTTTAATTTTTAATAGTTTTTAACTAAAATTGTATAAAATAAATCTTTTTATTATAAACTACCAGATATTATTTTTTACGTAGTAGGGTACAAAATAATGAAGTCCGGTTGTGCAGGGTTAGTTTTAAAAGGCACGTTGCAGACTACATATTTTAATAAAACAAATAAAAGCAGATTATCAATTACTTAACCCCTTTTCTAGTCATTGATAGTGGTTTTTAGCTCAAAACTAATTTTTAAAAAAAATAGTGGAACCATAATGGAGTAACCAAAAAACGACTAAACTATCAAGGAATGGGTTGGAAAACATGTTGTCTTACTTTTTGAATGGCTCAAGATTTATGAATTAGTGATATGTATGTCCTGGTTAATGACGTGAAAAAAAAGGATTATTTATTGTAATAAAAATACTTTCTTGCCTAAGTAGCTTCGTATAGAAACTAAAATATTAGGTAAAAATCTTAAAAACTCATTTATATTATCCATTATGTTTTAGGTGTCTATACTTTACAGTTACAGTGTATAAGAATTGTTAAAACAAATACTTGCAAAGTACTGATTTTCGCATCAAATAATCCCGTGTACTGTTTTTATTAAAAGTATACATGAACACATCAGGTGTAGTTGTCAACATATATCTTAGTCTGAAGTAAATAGTTTGAAACGTGCCATCGTTGAACCGAAACCAAAATGTGTGTTAAAGAGGCGTTTCAAACTGCTCGAACTAAACGTAAAGTACAAGACCGAGAAAAATATACTAGATAAATATACAGGGTAAACGATATAATACATTCGACTTTGAAAATTTCTGCGTTGAACAAATACTTATTATTATTATTTTATACAAAACCGTTTAAAAGGGTGGGCTTAGGTTTAAGTAATTGTTTATGTAATGGTACACGTCTTATTTAAAATTATGTTTGATTATGTTACAATATATCAAACCGGATATTATTGGGGTATATTATATCTTATCTAATACTGTTTTCACGGTATACCTGTGAGTACCACTATGCCCTGACTTTGTCCACGAAGTTGTTCATGGTTTTATCGATGAAAAATAATTTCAATATGAAAAAAAACATGTCTACTTTTATATTTTAACTCAAAATTTTATTGAGTGTCTATTCGACTGAACAATACTTGCCCTCAGAGCTCTTAAATCTATTGTTTGCATAACTATATAAGAAGATTCCCTGTCACAAATGCGATTGAATAAAGTCAATTTGCATCTTATATAGTTAAACTTTAGGATCGCTCTTTTCCACGGTTTAGGTGAACGGTTCCACAACGCTATTCGCCGACCTCTGAGTAATTTTCCTAGAGTTTGACTAAATATTTGAATATATTTCTTATATTATCTATACTATGGAAAATTGTAAAAGTTATAGCAACTGTTGAACCGAATCCATACTTTAATGTTTAAAATCCAAACGGCCCAAAACCCATACAGTCGTTGTGTGGGTATATAATAATATGGTAGCGCACTCTTTCCTTCATCGTCATCACCATCGTCTGCCACTATATAGCGAAGTAATGATGCTCAAAACGGTAATAAAACTGTTAACAATAGCAGATTGTTTTTTTTTTAATATTTATATTAATATAGAAACTATTGGAAAATGTTTAATGAATAAAATTGTATTTTAAAGCGCTTGTGAGTTCAATAATTACCTTGAAATAGTACAAGCTACAGTAGGTAAGTATCTAATGCGTATAATATTCAATTAAACTGTAATTTAAGTTTTTGAAATTGTGCTTCAACTATGTAAACAACATGAAAACGTGGATCTTTAATACTAACATTAATTTATAAAATTCGGCCGATTCCGTTCTACCAGTAGGTCCAATTAATTTTGTCAAAATCATATTTTATTCACCTGTTATATTTTCATAACTTCATCAAGTCTCTTGTTTAGTTCAATGAAATCGTTTGAAAAATTTCCGACATCGATGTAATGTCTTTAATAACGCAACCTAACAACAAGGAAATTTGTAATATTGAAAATAAAGCTAAATGTGTAATGTATAATACGTTATGATATGCAACATAAGCTAAATCATTGGAATCGTTGGAGGTTGGAACATGTTCTCCTCGGCTAATAGGAGTATGTGTTTATTTATTTTCTATAATACATACGTCAAGCGGCTGTTTTTATAGTAATTTTTATAACTCAAGTAACAATTATATTTAACATTACAATATTCGTATTAGATGTATTTAAATCAATTTTCAGGAAACACAGCAAGGTGTGTATTTTTACTTCCGTCGATAAAGAACGATAAAACATCAAATGTTAATCCGTCTAGACTTTCATTAATAAGTAGTCCGATTTCTTTAAATTGCTTATCAATTCTGTTTAGGAAATCAGAACGTGCTGATGTAGTGTTAAGGTCTGAAATGTCGGCCAGTTCCGTTTCATTAGGACACCCTATTAAATTTGACAAAATCGTATTTACTTCATCTATTATTATTTTCAAAACTTCTTCAATCTGATCTTTATTAGGATTATTTAGACTATCATACAACGTTATTACTCTGTTTAACGTTTTGTCTTCGGTGTAACTGAAATTGAGCATTTCCATAATCAGGGACTTATAATTAACATTAAATGTATGATCGGTCGGTTCATATACAGCTAATTGCACCCAAATATAACAGTATAGTTTAACCCTAATTATACATATAAACGTTTGCTGAAATTCAATATGTTTAAACGGATCCTTCGTCCAGTTATGTGTAATTTCAAACTGATCATAGACCTTTTGACGACAAGCTGTGTACACACGCTCTATTGCATTCCAGTCAATAGTAACGTTCCATATTGGTTTAATCACAAACGATGTTTCATGCCATACACATCTTAAGGTTAAATAATTGAATTCAAGAGGCAATGCAGGTATATTTTTATATAGTTCATGTTTTTCGTGATTCAATTTATAAAATTCCTCAATTTTATTGAACCAATATGGTGGTTTAATTAATTCCTTCGACACAGGTTTTTTGTGTTTAAAATTTGTATGTTTCTTAACTTTGAAAATAAAACATCCCTCAAATTTATTTAACAGACTTGGCCTACTTACTGTACGACCAGGGATTTGTTGTCCATTATCTATGACTGTTAAATATTTATGTCCCATACACATTTCTATTAAATCGGCTAAAGGTTTTCGAAATTTTTCTAGATTTTGCCCTCTCATATGTAATTGTTGTACTTGGTCACCCTTAGCCGGTGACCACAGGGCGATATGTAGTTCCCAAAGCCATTTGAATACTATGAAATTCCCTTTGTATGCCATCGCTATCATAATGTATACATGCTCAGCAATTTCTTTAGTGTTCCGTTTTCGGTCATAATACAACTTGTACTGCAATATCATATATTGTGCACATTGAATTTCTTGTGACTTGCGATAGTATTTCAGTTGAGCGAGTACTTTATCATTTAGTGAATCTTCTGTGTTGCTGGTAGTCAATAATCGTATTTCGTCATCATTAAAGCCGATAGGAAGGTCCTTGAACGTTTTGTAAGTGTTAAGAAGTTCAATGAAATCGTTTGAATAATTCCCGACATTGATGTATTGTTTCCAAAACGCAACCTATAACATGACCATTTGTAATATTTAAATTAAAGCTAAATGTGTAATGTATAATAGATTAGTGTATGCAACATAAAATAAATCATTAGAACCGTTGTATGTTGGAATAGTAATTTATATAGATATAAAACATTGACTTGGTCGCTGTTAATGAACTAAATGGTAATTATCAAGCTCTTGTTCAATTTCTAATATAAAGATAGTTAAATATAAACAAAGAACACAAGTCTTGAATAGTTAAAGTTAAAAGGTAATAAATATAACTAAAAGAGAATTCTGTTTTGTATTTTTTATTTACCTTTGTTTCTTTTGGAATATCCAACTTTATTACTGCATAGCTTACTTCGTCGGCAATAGGTCTAGATACAAGTATATCAGTTAATGGAGATGATGTCACAGTCGTTAAATAAAAAACTAACTCTAGTATTAAAATTATAGAACACGAGTTTGTTGCCATTATAAATAATTTAGACTTTCATCATTTTTGTAATACGCTTATGTTGAAATGTATGTGAAAATTATGGAATAATGATATATAAACTGAAGAACTTAGATTAATTTGAAAATTTGTTTATTTTTTCAACATCAGCTAACAGTGTATACGTTTAAAGACATTAAAATGAACTTGCTGTTTTAATAGTTAATGTGTTTTCCCGCAGTTAAATAAATATATTTTCGTTTTTTTTTAATTTATGTATGCATACAAAATCAAAATAATGGTATCGAATCCAACACTTAAACGTGAGTTATATATTATAAGGCGTTTTTGCATTATACGATTTTATACAGGGTAAGAATAATAATATAGCCAGCTTTTTTCAATATAAAATATTTATATGTTTTTAACTAAAATTGTTGAAAACAAATTGTATTATGTTAAACTATTAGAAATGGTTTTTTATATTGGAGGATATGAAATATTGAAGATCAGTTATATAGGCTAGGTTTGAAAGTAACGTTGCAAACTACATATTTTTTAGGGTAAAAGGGTAAGGGTAAAAGAAGACTTTAATGTGATTTGTATTCTTATAATATACAACACACACCTATCCTGTCACTCCTTACCAATAACTTTCATTGATATTAACTGAACAATTATTTATTTAAAACGGCTTCTCAAATAGTAATTATTTTTTTAATAATAAGCATTTTGCATAAGAAAAATATAATATTATGAAATATTATGTAAGACGCTATGTTACTTCTGAACAATAATAATTTATTTTGAAAATTTAACAAAGATTTAATAATCTTATAAAGAAATACTGTAGTAGACAATTTTGATCGCGCTATATTGTGTATAAACTACAAAATTTTACTATACGAGTAAATAAGAATTATCTATTGTAAAACTATTAATCAACTATACTTATTTGGCATTCATATAAATCTAGCTGCCTGTGTATCCGGCTTCGTTTGAGTACACAATTGCAACAAAGTACTTGCAAATTATGCATCATAATCTTTAAAAAACAATTGCTGCCCGTGTAAATACATACCGTGTACTGTGACATCACCGTTTCATTTATTGCTATGCTTTATGATACACGGCTTTTTTTTTGTTTTGTTGGCGAGTAAACAAATAGAGCTGATGGTTTTTCGAGACGGGAACATACAATTGACCATGCAAGAAAAATGGACTTATAGTTAAAAAAGTTGGTATAGCAGCTAGCCTGCTATGCCAACGACAACTAGGCCACTGACTTGAAAACATCTGTCTTGCTCCTACTTTTATACCTTAATACTATCTATTATTGTACAATAACATATATTTCTACTTCAAACGTAGTTTAACAGTAAATTTAAATATTACAATATAAAAGAAAATGTTCTCCTCGGTTAATAGGAATAATGTGTTTATTTATTTTCTAAAATACAAACGCCAAGCGGCTATTTTTACGTTAATTGTTAAAACTTAAGTAATAATTGTATTAAGCATTTTTATAGTTGTATTAGATGTATTTAAACCAATTTTCAGGAAACACAGCAAGCTGTGTATTTTTACTTCCGTTTATAAAGAACAATAAAACATCAAATGTTAATCCGTCTAACCTTCCATTAAACTGTCGTCCGATTTCAGTTATTTGCTCATCAATTTTGCTTAGAAAATCAGAACGTGACGATGGCGTGTTAATGGCTGAAATGTCGGCCAATTCAATTTTATTAGTACTTTCAAGTAAACTTGCCAAAATCGTATTTACTTCTTCTGTTATCATTTTTATAACTTCTTCAATCTGTTCTTTTTTAGGACTATATAGTTTATCATACAAAGTTATTACTTTGTTTAATGTTTTGTCTTCGATGTAACTGAACTTAAGCATATCCGCAATCAGGGACTTAAAATAAACATGAAATATATGATCAGTCGGTTTATATACAGATAGTTCCACCCAAATATAACAATATAGTTTTATCCTGATGATATCAATAAACGTTTGCTGAAATCGAATACCATGTTTAAACGGGTCCTTCGTCCAGTCATGTGTAATTTCAAACTGATCATCGACCTTTTGACGATCAATTTTGTACACATGCTCTATCCCAGGCCAGTCAATAGTAACTTTCGATATTGGTTTAATCAAAAACGATGTTTCATGCCATACACATCTTAAGGATAAATGATTGATACTGATAGGCAATGCAGGTGTATTTTTTTTATATAGTTCTTGTTTCTTGTGGTTCAATTGATAAAATTCTTCAATTGTATTGTAGAAATATGGCCTACTTAATTCCATTAAACCAGGTTTATTGTTTTTATTATTTCTGTGTTTCTTACCTTTGAAAATAACACATCCCAAAATTGTATTTAACAAACTTGGCCTACTTGCTGTACTATCTATGACTGAAATATATTTATGATGCACGCACAATCCCTCCAAATGGCTTAAAGGTCTTCGAAACTTTTCTAGATCATCCGCGATCATATTCAATAGTTGTACCGCATTATCCGTAGTCGGTGACCAAAGGCTGATATGTAATTCCCAAAGCCATTTAAATACTATGAATTTCCCTTTGTATGCCATCGCTATCATATTGTATACATGATCAGAAATATCTTTAGTATTGCGTTTGGTGTCAAAATATAACTTGTAATGCAACGTCACATATTGTGCGCACTGAATTTCTTGACCTTTGCGGTAGTATTTCAATTGGGCGAGTATTTTATCATATAGTGAATCTTGTGTGTTGCTGGTAGTCAATAATCTTATTTCGTCATCATTAATATTGATGGGAGGGTTCTTAAACGTCTTGTAAGTGTTCAGCAGTTTAATAAAATCCTTTGAATAGTTCCCAACATTGATGTATTGATTCAATAACGCAACCTAATAACATGACCATATGTAATCTTAAAATTAAAGCTAAAAATTTAATGTAGGATAGGTTGTTTTATGCAACTTAAAATAAATCATTAGAGTCGTATCATCGAAGTGGAAACAGTTAATTGATATAGAGATAAAAATGGTAATTATCAAGCTGTTGTTCAATTTCAAATGTAAAGATAGTTAAGTATAAGCAAAGAAGACAAGTCTTAAAAAGTTTAATTTAATACGTAATAAATATGATTCCATGTAGAATATTGTTTTATTTACCTTTGTATCATTTGGAAAATCCAACTTACCGACTTCATTTCTAACCTCGTCGGCAATAGGTCTAAATACAAGTATATCAATTAATGGAGATGATGCCACAGTCGTTAAATAAAAAACCAATTCTAGTATTAAAATTAAAAGACACGAGTTTGTTGCCATTATGAATATTTTAAAGTCTAGTAGTTTAATTATTCTTGTAATGCGCTTATGCTGTAATGTAAGTGAAAATTATGGAATAATAATTTATAAACTCATGAACTTGAAAAATTTTACAACTTGAAAAATAACTCGACATCAACTATCGGCTTTTAGATACGTTTAAAAGCGTCAGACTAAATTTGCTTGTTTAATAGTTTATGCGATTTTCTGAAGTTCAAAATAAATATTTGTAGTTTAATGATACCCGTATATTATGTACACTATAACAAAATAATGGTATCGAATGTAAAACTTGAACGTGAGTAATATATTATAAGGCGTTTTCGCAGTATACGATTTTATACATAAGTGTTATGCAGACTATGTAGATACAGTTTTATTAAAGCATGACCCCAAAAAAAATAAAAAAACATGTTATTTTTAAAACAACAAAACGCTTATAATATGCTATACCATATTACAAATGTTATACCGCCAATACTTTGTAAATTTATATGTTTGTTGATTTAAGAAAAAACCGGCAAAACTGTTCCAACTAATCATAGTTTCATTTATTTTTCTTAAATTAACGTCCTGCTAAAAAGTGAAAATATATTTTTCATCTAAATTTTCCCGTGACATTTTACTAGTGAGACGGTTGAGGTGTCAAATGAACTGATACAATTTTGGTGCAAGTCACGTGATTTTTTCTTGTCAACAATAATTTTTTCAAAGTTACTCTAAAGTATAACCATCAGTATAGTTAAATGGAGTAGATTCGATATTTAGGAAATTATGTGCCGATGATTTGAGAGCAGTTTTTTTTTGTGTCTGGACCCTCGATATTCCCCCCTTAACCGCGAAGCGATTCCTCCATGTAAGCAATTTCTTCATATGAATAAGAAACCGTAACTTTAAGATACTTTTTGGCATAAAAATTTAAAGTTTCCCTTTAAAAATTAAGAGGAACGCCCTATAAACTCACACTCTTTTTACCTTAAAATTACGGCGCGCCAGTTAGGTGGAAAGCTCTTTATCATAGAGCTATAATTTATAAATATAGGATTATAGGTCTATGATTTTAAACGATTTGTTAGATCCTGAAGTTAGAGCCAAGTTAAACTAATGTCAAATCAAATATATGTGTTTATGAAGCCTATGGTAGACAAGTGATACGATATAAAGACAAAATAATATTTCTTATTAAACCCAGTGAGATTTCGAGTGGTTGACGATAAGTCGATCACCATGTATTATCACATAATACAATAATTTAAATAATGTTATTTCAACCTTTCAGTCAAAAAAATACATACAGAACCCTTATAAGTTAAATCATAAATATAATATGCATTCAACTTGCGTTATAAAGTTTATTTCAACCAAAGTTCACACAAATTGTTAAAGATTTTTTTTCTTTTATTGTAATATACGATATTTTTTCAACTATTTCAATAGTGATATTTTCTATCTTATCGAAAACAAGTTGTTTTTCATAAAAACTGTTTTAATATATATAATGGGATATTATAATATAAAAATAATTATAATTTAGGCTTTGTACATTATTGGATATCGATAGGAGAAGGAATTACAATCTAATTCGAAATTTATATTATTATACAACTATTCGAATATTCAAATGTTTAAAATAATATAAATATAATTAGTGAAACATCAAGATGCTAACGTGCAAGAAATAAAATAGGTCAAACATTTAAATACAAAAACAACAGCAAAAACATTAAGATAACATTTTTAAACATACGTATTGTCATAGGAAAGAAGTATCTATTTTAAGTATTAATTTTTTATTCAACTTTTATAACGCATATCGGATTCATTTTTGTAAAATAACATATATTTCTACTTTAACCGTTTCGTTAAGTTCAAACGTAGATAAACAATAAATTTAAATACTTGAATAAAAAAAAACACGTTCTCGGACACGGTGAAAAGGAATATGTGTTTATTTATTTTTATAATATAAATTCCAAACGACTTTTTTTATATTAACTATTATAACTTTAGTAACAATTGTATTCAGCATTTGTATAGGGGTTTAGATGTATTAAAATCAATTTTCAGGAAACACAGCAAGCTGTGTATTTTTACTTCCGTTTATAAAGAACAATAGAACATCAAATGTTAATCCGTCTAACATTCCATTAAACTGTCGTCCGATTTCAGTTAATTGCTTTTCAATTTCGTCTAAAAAATCAGAACGTGATGATGGCGTGTTAATGTCTGAAAGGTCGGCCAATTCAATTTTATTAGTACTTTCAAGTAAACTTGCCAAAATCGTATTTACTTCTTCTGTTATCATTTTTATAACTTCTTCAATCTGTTCTTTTTTAGGACTATATAGTTTATCATACAAAGTTATTACTTTGTTTAATGTTTTGTCTTCGGTGTAACTGAACTTAAGCATATCCGCAATCAGGGACTTAAAATAAACATGAAATATATGAACAGTCGGTTTATATACAGATAGTTCCACCCAAATATAACAATATAGTTTTATCCTGATGATATCAATAAACGTTTGCTGAAATCGAATACCATGTTTAAACGGGTCCTTCGTCCAGTCACGTGTAATTTCAAACTGATCATAGACCTTTTGACGATCAATTTTGTACACATGCTCTATCCCAGGCCAGTCAATAGTAACTTTCGATATTGGTTTAATCAAAAACGAGGTTTTATGCCATACACATCTTAAGGATAAATGATTGATACTGATAGGCAATGCAGGTGTATTTTTTTTATATAATTCGTGTTTCTTGTAGTTCAATTGATAAAATTCTTCAATTGTATTGTAGAAATATGGCCTACTTAATTCCATTAAACCAGGTTTATTGTTTTTAATATTTCTGTGTTTCTTACTTTTGAAAATAACACGTCCCAAAAATGTATCTAACAAACTTGGCCTACTTGCTGAACTATCTATGACTGGAATATATTTATGTTGCACGCACAATCCTTCCAAATGGCTTAAAGGTCTTCGAAACTTTTCTAGATCATCCGCGATCATATTCAATGGTTGTACCGCATTATCCGTAGTCGGTGACCAAAGGCTGATATATAATTCCCAAAGCCATTTAAATACTATGAATTTCCCTTTGTATGCCATCGCTATCATATTGTATACATGCTCAGAAATATCTTTAGTATTGCGTTTGGTGTCAAAATATAACTTGTAATGCAACGTCACATATTGTGCGCACTGAATTTCTTGACCCTTGCGGTAGTATTTCAATTGGGCGAGTATTTTATCATATAGTGAATCTTGTGTGTTGCTGGTAGTCAATAATCTTATTTCGTCATCATTAAAATTGATGGGAGGGTTCTTAAACGTCTTGTAAGTGTTCAGCAGTTTAATGAAATCCTTTGAATAGTTCCCAACATTGATGTATTGATTCAATAACGCAACCTAATAACATGACCATATGTAATCTTAAAATTAAAGCTAAATATTTAATGTAGGATAGGTTGTTTTATGCAACTTAAAATAAATCATTAGAGTCGTATCATCGAAGTGGAAACAGTTAATTGATATAGAGATAAAAATGGTAATTATCAAGCTGTTGTTCAATTTTAAATGTAAAGATAGTTAAGATAGTTAAGTATAAGCAAAGAAGACAAGTCTTAAAAAATAAAGTTAATACGTAATAAATATGATTCCATGTAGAATATTGTTTTATTTACCTTTGTATCATTTGGAAAATCCAACTTACCGACTTCATTTCTAACCTCGTCGGCAATAGGTCTAAATACAAGTATATCAATTAATGGAGATGATGCCACAGTCGTTAAATAAAAAACCAATTCTAGTATTAAAATTAAAAGACACGAGTTTGTTGCCATTATGAATATTTTAAAGTCTAGTAGTTTAATTATTCTTGTAATGCGCTTATGCTGTAATGTAAGTGAAAATTATGGAATAATAATTTATAAACTCATGAACTTGAAAAATTTTACAACTTGAAAAATAACTCGACATCAACTATCGGCTTTTAGATACGTTTAAAAGCGTCAGACTAAATTTGCTTGTTTAATAGTTTATGCGATTTTCTGAAGTTCAAAATAAATATTTGTAGTTTAATGATACCCGTATATTATGTACACTATAACAAAATAATGGTATCGAATGTAAAACTTGAACGTGAGTAATATATTATAAGGCGTTTTCGCAGTATACGATTTTATACATAAGTGTTATGCAGACTATGTAGATACAGTTTTATTAAAGCATGACCCCAAAAAAAATAAAAAAACATGTTATTTTTAAAACAACAAAACGCTTATAATATGCTATACCATATTACAAATGTTATACCGCCAATACTTTGTAAATTTATATGTTTGTTGATTTAAGAAAAAACCGGCAAAACTGTTCCAACTAATCATAGTTTCATTTATTTTTCTTAAATTAACGTCCTGCTAAAAAGTGAAAATATATTTTTCATCTAAATTTTCCCGTGACATTTTACTAGTGAGACGGTTGAGGTGTCTAAATGAACTGATACAATTTTGGTGCAAGTCACGTGATTTTTTCTTGTCAACAATAATTTTTTCAAGGTTACTCTAAAGTATAACCTCAGTATAGTTAAATGGAGTAGATTCGATATTTAGGAAATTATGTGCCGATGATTTGAGAGCAGTTTTTTTTTGTGTCTGGACCCTCGATATTCCCCCCTTAACCGCGAAGCGATTCCTCCATGTAAGCAATTTCTTCATATGAATAAGAAACCGTAACTTTAAGATACTTTTTGGCATAAAAATTTAAAGTTTCCCTTTAAAAATTAAGAGGAACACCCTATAAACTCACACTCTTTTTACCTTATAATTACGGCGCGCCAGTTAGGTGGAAAGCTCTTTATCATAGAGCTATAATTTATAAATATAGGATTATAGGTCTATGATTTTAAACGATTTGTTAGATCCTGAAGTTAGAGCCAAGTTAAACTAATGTCAAATCAAATATATGTGTTTATGAAGCCTATGGTAGACAAGTGATACGATATAAAGAAAAATTAATATTTCTTATTAAACCCAGTGAGATTTCGAGTGGTTGACGATAAGTCGATCACCATGTATTATCGCATAATACAATAATTTAAATAATGTTATTTCAACCTTTTAGTCATAAAAATACATACAGAACCCTTATAAGTTAAATCATAAATATAATATGCATTCAACTTGCGTTATAAAGTTTATTTCAACCAAAGTTCACACAAATTGTTAAAGATTTTTTTTCTTTCATTGTAATATACGATATTTTTTCAACTATTTCAATAGTGACTTTTTCTATCTTATCGAAAACAAGTTGTTTTTCATAAAAACTGTTTTAATATATATAATGGGATATTATAATATAAAAATAATTATAATTTAGGCTTTGTACATTATTGGATATCGATAGGAGAAGGAATTACAATCTAATTCGAAATTTATATTATTATACAACTATTCGAATATTCAAATGTTTAAAATAATATAAATATAATTAGTGAAACATCAAGATGCTAACGTGCAAGAAATAAAATAGGTCAAACATTTAAATACAAAAACAACAGCAAAAACATTAAGATAACATTTTTAAACATACGTATTGTCATAGGAAAGAAGTATCTATTTTAAGTATTAATTTTTTATTCAACTTTTATAACGCATATCGGATTCATTTTTGTAAAATAACATATATTTCTACTTTAACCGTTTCGTTAAGTTCAAACGTAGATAAACAATAAATTTAAATACTTGAATAAAAAAAAACACGTTCTCGGACACGGTAAAAAGGAATATGTGTTTATTTATTTTTATAATATAAATTCCAAACGACTTTTTTTATATTAACTATTATAACTTTAGTAACAATTGTATTCAGCATTTGTATAGGGGTTTAGATGTATTAAAATCAATTTTCAGGAAACACAGCAAGCTGTGTATTTTTACTTCCGTTTATAAAGAACAATAGAACATCAAATGTTAATCCGTCTAACATTCCATTAAACTGTCGTCCGATTTCAGTTAATTGCTTTTCAATTTCGTCTAAAAAATCAGAACGTGATGATGGCGTGTTAATGTCTGAAAGGTCGGCCAATTCAATTTTATTAGTACTTTCAAGTAAACTTGCCAAAGTAGTGTTTACTTCTTCTGTTAGAATTTTTAAAACTTCTTCAATCTGATCTTTTTTAGGACAAAATAGTTTATCATACAAAGTTATTACTTTGTTTAATGTTTTGTCTTCGATGTAACTGAACTTAAGCATATCCGCAATCAGGGACTTAAAATAAACATGAAATATATGATCAGTCGGTTTATATACAGATAGTTCCACCCAAATATAACAATATAGTTTTATCCTGATGATATCAATAAACGTTTGCTGAAATCGAATACCATGTTTAAACGGGTCCTTCGTCCAGTCATGTGTAATTTCAAACTGATCATAGACCTTTTGACGATCAATTTCGTACACATGCTCTATCCCAGGCCAGTCAATAGTAACTTTCGATATTGGTTCAATCAAAAGAGATGTTTCATGCCATACACATCTTAAGCATAAATGATTGACACTGATAGGCAATGCAGGTGTATTTTTTTTATATAGTTTATGTTTCTTGTGGTTAAATTGATAAAATTCTTCAATTGTATTGTAGAAATATGGCCTACTTAATTCCATTAAACCAGGTTTATTGTTTTTAATATTTCTGTGTTTCTTACCTTTGAAAATAACACGTCCCAAAAATGTATCTAACAAACTTGGCCTACTTGCTGAACTATCTATGACTGGAATATATTTATGTTGCACGCACAATCCTTCCAAATGGCTTAAAGGTCTTCGAAACTTTTCTAGATCATCCGCGATCATATTCAATGGTTGTACCGCATTATCCGTAGTCGGTGACCAAAGGCTGATATATAACTCCCAAAGCCATTTAAATACTATGAATTTCCCTTTGTATGCCATCGCTATCATATTGTATACATGCTCAGAAATATCTTTAGTATTGCGTTTGGTGTCAAAATATAACTTGTAATGCAACGTCACATATTGTGCGCACTGAATTTCTTGACCCTTGCGGTAGTATTTCAATTGGGCGAGTATTTTATCATATAGTGAATCTTGTGTGTTGCTGGTAGTCAATAATCTTATTTCGTCATCATTAAAATTGATGGGAGGGTTCTTAAACGTCTTGTAAGTGTTCAGCAGTTTAATGAAATCCTTTGAATAGTTCCCAACATTGATGTATTGATTCAATAACGCAACCTAATAACATGACCATATGTAACATTAAAATTAAGCTAAATGTGTAATGTATAATATATTATTGTATGCAGCTTAAACTAAATCATTAGAATCGTTGGAATTTGGAACAGTTAATTTATAAAGAAATGGAAACATTGTCATGGTCCTTGTTAACGATCCAAGTTGTAATTATCAAGCTGTTGTTCAATTTCAAATGTAAAGATAGTTAAATAATATAAGCAAAGAAGACAAGTCTTAAAAAGTTTAATTTAATACTTAATAAATATGATTCCATGTAGAATATTGTTTTGTTTACCTTTGTATCATCTGGAAAATCCAACTTCCCGACTTCATTTCTTACCTCGTCGGCAATAGGTCTATTTACAAGTGTATCAATTAATGTAGATGATGTCACAATCGTTAAAGAAAAAACCAACTCTAGTATTAAAATTAAAAGA